ATATATATATAAATGTATATATATATATATAGAGAGAGAGAAGTCCACATTTCTGGGTTGAAATAGGCTAATTACGTTTATAATATTTTTATACATTTGCCATTTTTGTTTGTCTTAGGAACTACGTAAGAAAAAAAAAAACTATTGCAATTTAGAGATGATACAGATAGATACAATTTAGATATTCATATAGTTAAATCAAAGCATTTTGGCCAAAGCCCATGACGTGTTTTCCTGGTACTGTCACGTCTGAGAAGATGTGATCTGCACTGCGTTGACCCTTCAACTCCCCACAACCCCCTAATTATAAATTCTACTTTTACACTCCAAGGCGTGGCCCTGCAGGCTGTGTGCTACAAATTAGAGGATAGACCTTCAATTCAGAGAACAGTGCGACTTATACACTATCTTTATTTAAATAAAGATCAATAGTCTCCTCTAAGCTTTTGTTAAAAAAAACAAAACTTATTTGTTTCAAATTAAAAGAACAATAAGTTAAAGGAGTTACAGTGAAATTAGATTTTCTGCTACATTAAAAACCTTAAATTTCTTGTTGAGTATGTGGTTTTGAAACACCTGAGTGAAATTAACTCTAATGAGCATCATGGCCAGGAGCACAAGACCAACAGGGCGGTTAAACTATTAAATGCTGCACTTGAGCTATAAGTACGTTTACTGTTTTTGTCACATGGGTGATGTTAAGCAGAAACTTTGACATAAAATATTAAAAACTTTAAAGAATAGCTGTTTGATGCACAGATATTTACAAAATCTCACATTACCAACCGTTAAGAGTTTGTTAAGTTTTAACAAAGATCCCAATTAATCTGATTTTAGGAATGACTCAACTACTATAATGCATCATTTTAGCTCAATAGCTGTAAAAGTGACTGAGTTATAAACATTTATGTGTTTGCTAAGGTCTAGTTGTGGTGGTCATCTTGAATTGCTTTCACTGTGAAGGTATCAGTTATACTCAACCAATAATTTATTTATTAATAGTTGCATGAAATGTCTTTGCAAACAAACCGAGAAGCAGACACACATACACACAAATCATCCATCCATTTTACACCCATCTGTGTTCAGGTTGTAGAGACAACAGGTCTGGAATGGAGACGCCCCTCTATCCAACTACGCTGTCCTACCTCCTGGTTGGTGTTCCTCAGGGTATTGAATGATTCCAGAAAGAGGAACTCAGAAGCCATCCTAAACCGCATAATCACCTCAGCTGAATCTTTTTGATGCAGAGGAGCAGACTCTCTCCTTGGATGATGAAGCTCCTCCTCTTATCTCTATGGCTGAGCCTGGCCACCCTAAAGACAAAGCTCACGTCTGCTGCTTGCATCTGGGATCACATGCTTTCAATCATGACCCAGGGTCGTGAGGTTGACCAGGAGGTCGGGACTAAACATAGATGGACCAGTAAATCAAGAGCTTTGCCTTTTGGTGCAGCTTTTTCTTCACCAAGACAGACTGGAGCAACACCCTTGTTACTGCAGATGATGCCCAGATCTATCACTTCATCTCCTGCTTTATCCTACCAATGAGAACAAGTCTCCCAGAACTCTTCATCTTGAGACAGAGACTCATCTCTGACCCTGAGGGACCATTCTATCTTTTTTTCCAGTTCACAAAATATCTTAGGTTGATTGGGGGGGGGGGGGGGGGGGGGGGGGGGGGTGGGTGGGGGGGCTGTGGCG